CAATGGTCTGGAAGACCTAGGAGATCCATCTCTCAGCTCCAGAGATCAACCTGCATCCTCAGCAACCGTTTTCATGGCAAGAGGGTTGATTGGCCAATGGAAGCAACCTTTTGGTTATGCCCTAACTTCTTCGGCAATCAAGCATGCTGACCTGAAGGTGCTTTTGTTAGAGGCCATTAAAAAGCTTAAATATGTTGGTTTGAAAGTGAAAGCAGTTGTGTGTGACCAAGGCCCAAACAACCAGTTTTTAGAAAACTGGGTGTCACCCCTGAAAAGCCTTTTTTTCATCACAAGGATGATAAAATCATAGTCCTCTTTGATCCTCCACACTTGATCAAAAATATTAGAAACAATTTGATCAACCACAATTTCTATAGATCTTACCCATGATGGTATTGCGAGCTGGGCAGTTATTAAAAAATTTTATGAAAAAGACAGTGCCTTGGGTTCATTTAGGATGGCACCCAAGTTAACCAAGAAACATGTCTGTGTGTCAAGTTTTGGACGTCAAAGGGTTTGTTTGGCTGTGCAAGTGCTCAGTCGCAGTGTATCAAAAGCAGTCGGGACACTGTGTAAACTTGGAATTAATCCTTTGTCTGACATGGCTACATCTGTCTTCTGTGATGTCTTTGACAAACGTTTCAACGGGTCACCTGTGTCGTCCTCTGCCGAATTTCGTAACCCAATCACAACTACATCACAGCTTCATGAATTTTTGCAGGAGACACTTCTATGGTTGAAAGATCTGAAGTTTGGCCCAGAGGACTAAAAGAAAGATGCAAGATTATTACCATGTGTCAGTGGGTGGATCCACAACATCACTGCTTTGCAAAGTCTTGTGGCAGACATTGTGAACGTAGAGGGAGTCGATTACTTAATCACAAATCGGTGCAATCAAGATGCACTTGAAAATCTGTTCTCAGTCATCAGAGGAAAAGGTGGACATCATGACAATCCTAATCCCCAGCAATTCCGTTTCGTTTGAGACAGATAATGGTGGACAAAATTATGATTGCATCGCCTTCAAGCAATTGTAGGGACGATGTGGATAGCTTTTTTATTAATCTAACAAATAAATGCAGCCAAACAACAATTGCAATTTCGGCAGACCTTGATAATGAACAGAGGCACATTGTTAATTTAGTTAAGTCTTGCAATATTAAAGAAGTAATGCACTTAGAAAAATGCAATTTCCTACGTGAGTGGATACATTTTAAAGAAACTTTACGATGTGGTCTGCAAGGACTTCATAGGGAAATTAGAAGATTCCTCATCTTCCCATGCACCGCATCTGACACTCATCAATCAGAAACAGTTTGAACATTGTTGTCACGGTGGCTTGAAAAGTCCCAGTTTCAAACTTGTGGAAGATGTTGGTTTGTTTGAGGCTGTCTTTCAAACACATTTTAAACATTTAATGAACAGAGCTCACATTAGACAGAATCTGAAGTTGAAAATGCTCCAGGAGCCAAACGTAACTGAAATCAAAGGTGATTCCTGCAAATGCCAGACAGTGGACTATGCAGTTAATGTATTTATTAGCGTTAGACTGCACCATGAACTTAATACAAGAAATGAAGCCATTCAGCAGGAAAAGAACAAAAAGAGCAGAAAGTTTATTAAAGTTTCTCACCAATAGCCTTTCATGCTACAAGTGATAGCTTTGGCTGTGCCTGATTTTGATGAAGTGATAAAGGTATGTTGTGAATATTATTTGCCTGTTTCCAACATGTTGTGTTATTTGTTTGCTTGCTTGATGCTTGTTTTTGGTTTTTTGTTGTTGTTTTTTGGTTGTTCTTTTTTCTTATTTTTTATTCTTTTAACACTATTACCTTTGGTACTAACGGCATTCAGAGTACACTCCAGACCTCAGTTAAGATCAAATGTTGCGTGAACTTTAATGTTATATTATTATTATTATGTTTATGATCTTTGCCTTCCGTTTTGATAATAATTCTTTAAATCCAGTTCTCACAGATAATAGTTTATTATGCAGGACATGTCTTGTGCTACTAATATAAATGTATCAGTTAATCCCCTACAACTAGTCACTTGTAATAAGGCCTACTGGTCACCCCACCGCTCATATAATAGTAACACTTCGTGTGTTGTATGAGCTCATTAATGCGCAGAGCAATGCGCACAGTCGCTGACCTCGATTCTCCGATAGCGAACAAAGGCCGAAGAAGGATTGCACCGTCTCGGCATTTACGGTCTCTGTGAGACTGTTCAAAATTTAAATAGTGTTCATGAAAATGAATTAAGAATGAAAATGAACCAACCAATTATGTAGATGATGTGACTTTCACTAGCAGCTCAGCCTGAGTTAATGTTTCCACAAAAGGAAACTAGACTAACTTGGACATCAGGATCCTTATGTGTGTTCCCTGGGAGTCTGCGGTACAGTTCATGGACAGAGTTACTTGAGTGCTCCAATACTGATCACATCTTCAAGGTCATGTTTGCATTTGTCAAATCTGTGTTCAAGTTCAATAACATACCCTTGAGTAAGGCTTATCATACGTGAGTCAACATGTTGAAATGAAGCGCTCATCAAAACGATGAAATAGAAGAAATTGACATTTTCCCACTCGTTTTACCATTTTTATTGAATTTTTTCCTTTTTTTTTTTCTTCCCCTCAATACCTTTTATTTCTGTGAGGATTTTACTGAAAAATCAAAGGCACAAAAAATGTAGATTTTCAGTTTGCACAGACTCTCAAGCTATGGAAATAACCAAACTTTGGTGGCAATTTTCTCGCTATTTTTACCTCTGAACTAGGCAACCCCTCCTTCTTCAATCTCAAATATAGTAGGCCTATTCGAATTGTATGCAAGATAGATGATGAGTATTTTTTCATCGAAAGCGGAAAAAGTGAACAAGCCTTGAATACCAATAACTCGACTTGCCCAAAAATTTTACGGGTGCCGTGACGCATATCCATTCACTTTTATATGTGCTGGCATGTGACTGGGAAAGTGGCTTTTTGTTTTGTTTTTGTAGGATTGCTTTTGATGTAGGTGTTTTAAATCCCTTATCAGTGCAATTTAGATCATTTAGGAGGAGGTGGGCTTCTGACCGTGCCTGTCGGGACCAACCCAGGCTGAGAGGGATACAACATCCTTGAAAGTATGATTTAAAAGAAAAAGACAGGACCTAGAAGTTCCCATGAGGCCTAATTTGAACTGTTTATCATACAGCAACCAAAGATCATGGATGTATTTAAATATTGAATCAAAGGCCTTTCTTTCATCTGATTTCAGCATACATTTGTTACTTGCAGAAGTAGCTTCCAACCCTGTCTGGCAAACCCGAGTTGAGAGGGATACAACATCCTAGCAGAAAGACCAAGATAGGCAATACAAATGTTTCTCCCCTTGGGAATCGAACTCGGTTCTCCTGCTTGCAGCAGCGAAGTGCCTAACTGCTACACCCCAGACACTGGTCTACTTTTCTGGGAAAATGAAATTTGATTAGCATGTCTTGAACTTGAACCCCCATGCAAAGTTCACACACACATAATTGCAACTGGTGTTGGGTCTACGTGTCATAGGCTGGCCTTGCACGAGCATTCATGAAGACTAAGACAAAGACTAAAAGTAAGACAAACATGGCTTAAGGTACCGTATGAAATTACAATTGGAAACAAACTCATGACTCAGTTGTATGATGATGATGACGTCCAAATGCTTCATAACAAAACAGCTTATGAGCGTCTGTGGTGTAACAGTTATGTGCTTCGATCGCTGTCACACCCTGGATCCCCGAATGGGGAGAACATTCTTATCGAGTATCTCGGTCTTTCGACTGCTGGAATATTGTACACGTATTCCTCTCAGCCTGGATTGGCCATAACGTGCAGGGTAGGAAGCCCACCTCCTGTATGATCTAAATTGTGTCGATGGTGGCCTAAAACACCCACATTGACTTTGTGCATTTATCAAGGCTGAGGCTGACTGCTGATTCACAGAGTTAGAAATTACAAGGTGAACACAAACTCAGTTCTTGTAAGATGACATTAAGTGCTGGCAATGCTTGGTTCTACTTCTACCTAGGTGAAAAGGCAACGTGAAAAAATGGTGAAATGTTACCGAGGTTTTACGTCCCAATTAATTTTAGATCCAACACAAATAGGTTATTTAAAAGGCAGGACCTCCGGACCTCCAATTTTAACGTCCATCTCCGAAAGGACAGGGCGAATAAATGGAAAATTCGTGCAAAGTGTCTTTTCCAAGGACACAACATCGGGCTGAGCTGATGCTCGTTCCGGATGGTTAGAGAACGCCTCTGGTAGGTCCTTCGTCTTTTCATTTCCCCTGTTGTTCTGTCTGTCAGTTTTACCAAATTCCCCTGCACAAAATGACAATTATGGTGTTGATGTGCTTTGCTTTACTCAAACAAACAAGCCTTGACTTTGACTTGACATGAGCAAAAACTTCCCCGAGAACAAGGCTTACTGGACGCTCTGTTATGAAATTGTGTGGGTATCATGCTGGACTGTAGAGCGGTTGACCCTAGTTCATATCCCCAACAGGGTACTCTTGCACAAGGGTTGTTTTCATCCTTCACCTTCACCTCCCCCGTTTTACAACCACCATAATATTAAGGCATCTGTAACGTGCGCAACTTGCACACGAGACTCGCCTTTATTCGAGAAGGTTTATTGATGTTAGATCTTCCTACCTATCATCAGGGATGTGGCTGAAAGAAAAGACAGCAGTAAGTAGAGGGCAAGGGATATAGTAGAAAAACTGCAGAAAGAGCTAGTCAGCCCAGTGTAGGGGCCAAGGGCGGGGGGGGGGGGGGGGAGAAGGTGGAAACGAAAGCAGACGATAGAACGTATGGTTAAAGAGCAGCGAAGAAGGTATGAAAGGAGAACATTAATTTCAGCGAAGAAAATTTTCTGTTGCTGTCAGGTTTCGAACATTTTATTGAATGCGAGAGATGAAACACCATACCCCGAGACAACGTCGAGAGCCCCTGCACTTTTGTTCGTCTATACTTTGGTACACCAGAGCCCCCCCCCCCCCCCCCCAATAAATAAATAAATTAATTAATTAATTAATTAATTTTAAAAATAAATGAAAATACCCCCAAAACAACTGCAGTAGCTTTTGTAGTGTTCTTCCTACAAGTACAAGGAATCACGAGAAAAGCGCCGCAAGACAATTTTAAGTCGATCTTGATCTGGCATTAAAATGCGCTTTTGTGATTTTGAAGGGTAGATTTTTTAGCTTTGGAAAGCTGCAAAAATTCTATCTATCTATCTATCTATTTATCTATCATATTATATGATATTATATTATATGATATTATATTATACTATATTATATTATAATATTATAGCCTGTGGTGAAAACAGTGCACTCTACAAAATATAGATCTACGCCCTATATATGGATAAGAAGAAACCTGAAGGAACCGCTCTTTCACGTAGCCTATCTCCAGAGTATTTCAATCTAAATACCTGAATACACGCCCAGGTGTGTCAGTGTAAACCATTAAATTATACAATTCACTGACTGTTCTAAAAAAAAAAAAAACCGACATGTAGGCCTACTACCGGAGGACATATCTTTTGTTTGTTGTTGTTGTTTGTCTTTTCCTCCCCTGAATAAACACATTCAATAGTAATAATAATATAATGCTGTCAGCCTGAGCGTGCAAAGCAAGATTTTTGCTCGGAAAGCGAGGACTTCTCGCCTCGATTTGATGCACTGCGCTCGGTTTTGCCGAGCGATTGATTGGCCAAGGATAGCGGGTGCTTGCGTAGGCCTATATGGTTGCCAGCTTGGCAGATTTTCTGTCAAAGGTTAGAATTATGGTATTTTAAAAATAAGAAGTTGTTTTAGGCTAGAGTAATTTTAGAACACCCAACATTAGCCTCCCCTGCAGGTCACTTGTCTAGGCTGTAGAAAACTTCGGATATCTGTATCTCCCCACCACGCTCATTCATTTGTATGAGGGGAAGGGAAAAGAAAAAAAAAGTAAAGAAACGTTAAGTAGGGCCTACCTATTTTTGCGGCTTTTGACAGTTATCCTAAATTCTGTTTTATTCTTCTTCTAAAAGACAAATCCTTGAACTTCTTAGTTATGGCTACACCTGCTGATGATAGATGACAGCTGTCTTTTTCATTACATGAAACTATCCTTGGTAAAAATAAATAAATGTAAATTCGTCCACAGCGAAGTTTGGCAGTTTAGGTTTAGTGCTAGTGTTGGCAGTATTTTTCAGACCATTTTAAACTGTTGGCCTGAAAAAGATCTGGCAATTCTGCTCCCTGTTTGTTTGCCGTTTGCGCAGCATTGGCGAGCGAAGCTGACGTGCTTGACTCTGCTCCAGCAGTCACGCTCGACTTTGTTCAAAATGGCGAACCAGAATAAAAACAGTCGGCCTGTGATCGTCAATGTTATGTCTGCTTGTGGGTCTACAATACCACTGCAAGTGACGGAAGCAGAGTCAAATCTCATCGAAAATGGTGAGAAGAAAGTCTGATTTTAATTTTAAGAGCTTTTTGATGTAGTTTAGACTCTTTGAATTTGATGAAGGTAGCGAATGCTTTGCAAGCGCGAAGCATTTTCAAGCGGTTTCCATTACCTGTCAAGAGCGGAGGCAAGCAAGTGGAGTACAAGTACGAGGGGACACACTCTTGCCATTTTCTCTAGCTTCAATTCTAGATTTCTAAATCCAGATCTAGATCTAGATTATATTCAACAAAGAATAATTACAGCTAAATATTCTCAGATAGGTGGATATAAGGACATTAAAGAGAACATTAGCTCTAGATTTAGAATGAGCAGGTTCAGAATAAGAAAAAAATACAAATACAAGAAAATCAGAAAGCCCCCCCCAACAATATAATATTTAATTTTATTAACCTACCCGACCTGTCTGCTATGCTTGCATTGAAAAAAAAGTTATTCTAGATCCAGCCTAGATTTGTGAAAAGTGTCAGGACTGTTTATTTTTTTTCTCCACAATTTAATTTATTTTGCTATAAATAGATTCTATAGGGCCCATAAATCACACTATTAAATAATAAATTGATAGCCTACTACTCTAAAACTCACAAATCAATTATAAATAACAAAGAAAATTTCAAATGATGAAATGGGCATAAAATGACCTGTGTAATCTCCCCACATTTTTTAACGGATTATGGTTCTTAGATCGGCACAGTCGATTACTGATGAGTTAATATGTCGGTGGGGGGGGGGGGGGGGTGTTAAAAATTGAACCACTCATCCGAAGTTGGAACTTACCCATTGCTGGCTATTGAGAACTTTAGAAGAACAGGTCGTGTGCTGGTACCCGAGAAAAAAGACCAACTTAACCGAAGATCAACTCAAGTAACTTCAATACAAGCGGAGTCAACTGTACAGGTATCTGTTTTCCTTTTGTTGGCTTGGATGTTATATTATATCTCTCTTAGCCTGACTGGTGACTGGTGATATGTTTGTTAGTAGTATATTAATGAAGCCGCCCACCTCCTGAATGATTAAAAGTGTATTGATGAGGGCGATATTATATATATATAATATATAATATAAGAGAGATATTTAATCATTTTCTTTTTCTTTTTCAGCTATGTCATGTGTATTAAGCCAGTTTAGCAATTTGTCCTGAAATGTTTCTGATCTTCTGGTTTATGTCAGATGAGGAGCTGTTGCAGAAAATCATAAGAGAGCGTGGCCCTGGCAGTAAGCAGGATGGCCCTTCAGGTTCTGATGCTGGTGACATGGACTCAGGAGCTCAGGCAGATAATGATACACCTGTCATCAAAGGAGAAGATTGCCAAGGTGAGTTAGGTTTTTTTTAACCCTTTTCTTCTGGAGTATTGATGTAAAAAGAGGCAACAGAAAAACAGTTGAAATTGTTTATGGCAGCCACCCATAGTCGTGGAGATTAGTGGTTGTCTTAGACTGGTGGATGTCTCGACAGTGTCATTATATAGAACAAAGGAAAAAATTAGAAGTGGCCTTTTGTAAAGGTCATTGTCTTCTACAGGTGGCTGTAAGACCAGGTGTGACTGGTTTGAATAGTTTGTCAGATCGTTGAGAATTTCCTGGAATGAAAAGAAGGTGCAAAACTCAACAAAAAAACCTTGAACATCTTGCTGTCACTGTAAAAATAGAAGACAAAAGGGGAAGGTGTCGACCAAGAATAATTTAAACTTATATATTTAAAAGAGAAACTGATGTACAGAAAAGTGGGAAGACATGGAATAACATCAAGAGGCTAACCCAGGATAGAGAAAGGTGGAAAGTGTTTGTCTGTGGCCTATGATTATTAATTATACCCTGGTGCAGGGTGAGACAGGCAATGATGATAATATTTTAAAAAGCTAGAACAGATTAATTACAGGATAGGACCTGGATTCTTTTTTATTATAGCACCTGAGCAGAGAATTGAGTGATAAATTAGCAAATGAAAGAGGTGAAAAAAATTGTTCTGTTTATTTTTTTCAGTTTGGACTCCCCCCCGCGTGAGAACACTGATAGCTTTGTACAAAGAGCATGCTCACCGGTTCGTTTCAGCGCACCGGAAACGGGACGTGTGGCAGCTCATCACAGAGGAGCTCAATGCTGCCTGTGGAACAAATTTTGGTGCTGATGAAGGCGATCGAAAATGGAGGAACTTAAAGAGCAGGTACAAGGAAGGTTTCAAGAGTACTAAGTCATTTTACTGATCTTTCAGACCAAAGATACACATCTGTCCGTGTCTTCGGTCCCACAGACAGACCAATTGAATTTTTATATTATGTTACAGCATCGTAAATGTGAGCTTGCGGGTTCGAGCCTCAGGCCCAAAGTTGTGTCCTTGGGAATGGCACTTTACACAAATTTTCCTCACTTCACCCAGGTGGGAAAGGATACCCTGCTATAGACAACGAAAGATCTTGTCCGTGCGTTAGTGTTTTAGCACCTCTGTAAAATGGCATCGCACTGTATGCTTCCCAGAAATTTTTTTACGAATACTATCCGGTCTGCAGGGGTAATAATATATGGTGGAATCAGGCGCTCGTTAATTTTTGGGCATGTCGAGTTATTAGTATAACCTTAAAGCTTGTTCATTTGTCTTGCTTTTGATAAAAAATACTCATTTATCTTGAATAGAAGTCGAGATAATTAATGAATGAGATTTGGTTGCCTGATTTCAGAGGTAAAATTAACGAGAAAATGGCCGCCACAGTTTTATCACTGCCAAAGCTTACGAGTCCTTAGAAACTACACATTTACATTTTTTGTGCCTTTAATCTAAATTTTTCAGTAAAGTTCATATAAAAATGTGTTCTTTTATAAACATAAAAGGTATTGAGCTGAAGAAAAAAAAGAAAATTTGATAAAAATTGCCCAGAGGCCAGAAAAGTGCCCGTTACTTTGATTGTATTATCATTTATTGTGATGTCCCCACATATGATATTGTAATAGTGCATATAGTCATTCCAGTTGGCTATCCACTAATGGAACAAACTTTGAAAACTCCGGTACTCGTAAGGCATTTGACCTAAGCACAATCCTAAAAGTCAGCTCTCACATTTTAATTAGCACCAATAATTCATGACAACCTAAATATAAATTGTAAAAGTCAAGAAGCTATAACACGTAGTAGTATAATAGACTAGAACTAATAAAAACGATTTTTTTTTCACGTTTAGTTTTCTGAAAGTATCTGAATGACTGAATGCTCCATACGCAGACAGCAAAATGCACTGACAATATAGCTTGCTGTTTGGTGGGATTTTGCGCTATACAAAAGCTATATCTATTGTTAATATTATGTCTCAACTGTTAATCTCATCTGATGTCCAGAGTCCCACCGTTGAAGGGAGTAGACAGGATTCCATCTAGTTGGCTTAAAAGAGGCCACAAAATTTTTTCTGTCGAGTCCTTTGTATTGGGGAAGGTTCAGCCAGGCAAATATTTTAAACACATCTATTGCTGAAAAGTTTAAATCTGATCATATTCGTGCTCCTGGTCAAATTTTGACATGATAACATTCCAAATACGGTATAATTTGACCTTAGTTCGTCAATTCCTATGATTACAAAAATAGATCAGTCATTTGACCTCAATTTGTCAAAGGTAAAAAAAGGCACTCCCAGGAACATATATATATATATACCCATGGTTATTATAAACCCAATGACCCCAGTCAGCTACCGTCTTGCTTAACAGAGTGATGTGGTTCTTGGGTCTGAGTGCACCTTTAGATTGGTTAGAAGCCTTGTGTTATTTTTGCGGAAAGTAGGAGGGGGTCGACATTATCCCCTCTTTCTGCTCAGTCCCTCTGTTGTTACTGTCTTTTTTCCTTGCTCAAAAAGTTCTTTTTTTTTTTTTCATTGTCCCTCTTTTATCAAACAAAACAGAAAATGTGTAATTTTCTTTGGTGTGAACTTCACAACTGCTACTTAAAATAAAAGAAAAAAAACACAATTTATTTATCCCTGTACACGTAGGAAAATTTAGGTTACTATGGCGAACATAATTATGATAATACATGTAGCCTACATAAATACATAATTATAAATACATACATAAATGCACAATATTACACCAGTACAGAACTATAACAATTTCACAAACATGCCTATGCTGGTCACCACTGTACAGCGCCCTGGGTTTTTTTTTAGCCAAGGTTGCTATGTTATGCTAAAAAAACACACCCCATTGACCACCCACCTAACCCAGTTTCACAGACACTTTCTTGACACTACTTTTGAGTCTGAACTCACTACTCACTTAACCACTAGAGGGCGTCGTCCCCCCCCCCCCCCCCTCCCCCTTCCCATTTCCATTCCTGTGTCTGCACTTTAAAAATGATGCCCAACTGGTTGTTTGTAAGTTGTTTTTTTATCTGTGCAACCCTTTCACACACCAATGCTGTAGGCTGATATCTCACCACTTGCAAGCATTCTGCATGCTTAACACTTGGCAGGACAGACACTTTTTTGGGAAAACCTGATGTGCAGTGGGTGGTGGATGGGTGCTCTTGTGTGGTTCACTCCGTCTTCCCTTTCCAACATCAATTGGCCTTATCTCTCCTTTCTTCTTTTTTTTGAGTTTGTTACTGACTAGTAACACTTCTGTCTTGGGCACTTGTATGACCCCTTTGTGTTGCAAGTGCCATAAAACTCTTACTTAAACTAAAAACCTGTTGAGCATAGGGTGTAGTATATATATTGTATTTGTTAGTGATGAGTGATCACACAGAGACCAGACTTTCTGGTCTGGATTTTTTTCTTATGCACATATATATTTTTTTTAAAATCCTTATCTTTGGCAAGCCACTCCACCTAGTGGATCTCAGTCGAAACCACTGTGCCAGTGAGCCGCTGCCTTTATAACAATTTTGACGTCAATTTACTTTTTGTCACTTGCCGAAAACAGGTCTCTTTTATCAGGAGTTTCTTCATTAGATGAACTATCAAAATATGTTTAGTTGTTTTGATTTAATGACCAATTTAGTGACATATATATGTCACTTCTAGATTTTGTACCAAAAGAGGACCCAGACGTAGTGGGTTTACCCCCCGTCAGATATAAAGATTTAAAACACACGCATAGCGAATTTCAGACATAACTAAAAGATTTCCACATCCTGCCGATTTCACTCATGTGTGCTAGACTATCCTTGTAGTTCCTTAGGTTTTGCTGTTTGTTGGAGGGAAAACAATGTTTTGTCTTTAAGTTAAGTGTTTGTTTTCTTTAATATCAGTTTGATTTACTGAGAGTTGAGTGTGTTTTTCTTGAATACCGTATTAGTTTGACTCACTTAAACTTAAAGTTGAGTAAATTTTTTCTTGTTAATTCTTTTGATTTATTTATATATATTTTTTTAAAATAGAATCTGCATGCCATAATTGAAATATTAACATTTAAGTAATGTCCACACATTCTCCTCTACAGGTACATGATTATCTTGGAAACGCTGAAGGAAACAGGCTACGCAAGGAACAAAATGTGGATGTATTTCAGCGAGGTGGAAGATGCTATAAATAGCAATCCAGAGGCACAGCCCACAGCTCGGTATCATCGCCTCAAGCCGAACGAGAGAGTGAGTGCGGCCTCCTCACCCAGCCCACCCTCGTCCCCCGAAGCGTCTTCCCCTAAACATTCGGACGCCCCAGCGTGGTTTCTCGCGATGTTTCACGAGTTTGAAGAACGCTCGGCTCGTCGCCACGAGGAGCACATCCGGGTGCTGCGGAAGCATCGGAAGACGGAGAAGAAGAGGAACAAGCTGCTCAAGCAAATTGTGGAGAAGATGACACCCTATCTTGACGACCCCAAAAGCTGACCTTTCCTCTTTCTCAGGTGGTACTGCTGCTCCTCTCAGGGATGTGGGGTTCTTTTCCCCCTTGTGATATGTAAGTTGCGGGTTCGATTCCTGCACAGGGGAAGTCATATTTGATTGAATGCTTGAATGAATGCTTCCTATCTTTGCCGAGATACTGAAGCCATCCAAGTCCTGTGTTGGTACTGATAGACAGGCTTGATGCAGCCTGCCTTCTAAATGATCTTAGTTTGTGCCAATAGGGATGTAATACATGGTCAATTTTTACTTTCTCTCCCGTACACAAATGCCCTCCTTTGAGGGTCAAATTGCAGGGTATTTTTTAAAATGCAGATCACATACATAGCCACTAAAACTGTCGCAAATCAATTATTTTAGTGCCCCCCCCCCCCCCCCTGACTATCAAGACCAACATGAACTAAAAGAGATGCAGTTTCCCAGCAGAATAAAAATATTTCACACAAGGGAATCCCCCCCAAGGTGGTTTTTTTTTTGTACATCAGGCTCAGGGGACATGCCTTCCATTTGATATCTTTAAAGTGAGCAGAGTCTCTCCACAGTTGTGTCAGTAGGCTAGTGGTCAGGCTTTCGAACCCAAAATCATGAGATTTAAAGTTTGGAGGGTTTGAGCCTCAGCTCGATTTGATGTTGTGTCCTTGGGAAAGGCACTTAAAACAAAAGTCCTATTTTGTCCTGGTCCTTTCGGAGATGGATGTTAAATTTGAAGGTCCCACCTCTTACATAAACCTAATAGTGTTGATAGGGGCGTTAAACCTGTACCATTTCACCATGTTCACGCCATGTTGTCTTCACTTCTTCCTCTTTGTCCTTTTGGCGTCTTTCAGGTGAACACTGTCTCTCCACTTCTGAAGTGTGGTGGTGTCGCCAGGGATGGAGATTTTCTTCTCACACATCATGAGTGAAGGTGTGTGTGTCCCAGAGGCACAGTAGGCGGGTGCTCTGGTGTGGTTTGCTCCTTCTTTTCTTATCAAACATCTGTCGTCCTTTTCTCTCCTTTACTCTCTTGTAACGCCTCTAATCTTCGGCACTTATATGACCTTATTGTGTTGCAAGTACCATAAAACTCTTACTAAAAGTAAACTCGCTCTTGTTTGTAGGCTTGGGCTTTCTCTACTTTTACTGGCATCAGTGCTGGCATCTCTTGTTGTCTAGCAATAAGGTGTTTTGTCGTTGAGCCCCTCTCAGCCTGGTTTGGCCCTGACAGATAGAGTCAAAACCGGCCTGCTAAATGGTCTTATTGTGTCAGTGGGGAAGTAAGAGACACTTTTCAGCAACAGAAAAGGAGAAAACACAAAACTAATTCTATTTAATTTTAATTCTTTTTCAATGGGAATTTACCATGTTGCAACCTGATTTGTATAGTCTGTTTTGCCAAACAATCACATCTGGTCCATGTCACCTTACCTATGTCTATGGGTGTAGTGGTCAGGTGCTTTGTCATCGCATGTTGGAGACCCGAGTTTGATTCGAAAGTGGGGAGGACATTTTTCTTTATTATCTTGGTTTTTCTGCTGGGATGTTGTATCCCTCTCAACCTAGGTTGACCCTGACAGGAAACCGGCCTTTTATATGATCTTAATTTTGTCAGTGGGGATGTAAAAAGACTGCTATTAAGTTTGACAACAAAATATGAGAAAACATGAGCCTAATAAGCAATACAGATTAAAAGAACCCCAAAACTCCGAACTGAGATTATTCTATTTAATTTCTATTAAGCGGGAACTTACCGTGTTGCAACATGATTTGTGTACTCTGTTTTGCCAACAATCACATTTGGTCCTCATCACCTTGGCACCATGGTACCAGCGTCTATGGCTTCTTCGTCTCGCATGTTGGAGACCCGAGTTCAATTCCCAAGTAGAGAGAAAATGTTTATTTATCATCTCTGTCTTTCTGCTGGGATGTTATAATCTCCCCTCTCAGCCTGGGTGGGCCATGACAGGCAAGGTCGGAAGTCGGCGCACTTACTTATTTTAACCGTCTGGATGGAGGCATAAACACTGACTTAGAAAAAAAAAAGTTAATAAAAAAGGGAAAAAAATCACTTTGGAATACTCCAGACGTCTCTCTTTAGGTAGGGTTGAAGTCCGTCTCCTTTAAATGATCCAAACTAACTGTATCGATGGGGGTGTTGTTAAAAAACAAAACATTTTTTCCCCTTTTGTTGAAAGAGGCAGTAAACCCTTACAATTGAAATGTGGGTTTGAGAGTGGATTTGTGCAAGGGGTGAGTGTGAGGTGAGTGGGTGACGTGTGTGTCAGAGAGAGAGAGAGAATGTGCGTTTGTGCTATTGTTTACCATAGCGTGAATGTTAATGCATTTGTCCGATTGTGTTCTTATGTATCACACTGACTGATTGGGTTTCCCATTGTTATTTAATAATGTATTTATTCAGAATGTGTTATTTTTTAATGTAAGGCGCTTTGATGTTGCGTGGAGGAGAATTCCAGAGTGGGGAGAAAATTGTACATGTATCGAGTATCTCAGTGCTGGGATGTTGTATCCCTCTCCTCAGCTCAGGTTGACCCTGGCATGCAGGGTCGGAAGGCCACCTAATTTATCTGAATAGTGTCGATAGGGGCATAGAGAAGACATACATTTTTAAAAAATGTTTCTGTTTGCTTTCAGGTGAATGATACTTTTGTTAATTTATTGATTGTGATGTATGTTCATGGTTTAAATGACTATTACATGTATTATGTCGATGTGTTTCTCTTTACTCAAAAAAACCTTGTTGGACCAGCTGTTGATATTGATGTACAGAATAAACAAAGTGAGAGCATGAAACTGATCTTAGTTTCTTGTGTTTTGTTTGCTTTTGTTGTTGTTTCTTTTGATTCTATAATGCAAATAGTGTTGGTGGTTGGCAGGTGTTCAGATGTGGTTTGCTCCTTCTTTCCTATCACACATCTGTTTTCCTTGTCTCTCCTCCTTTGCTCTTTGCGGGGGGTTGGAGTGGAGTGCGCCACTGGTAGGTCCTACGAGTGTCCTGTCTTTACGTCTGTTGTTTCTATCTATCTTGCTTCTTCCCTGCAGTGTGTAATACCGTACATATACTATAATAATAAAAGTGTATTATTGTATATTACTGCTGTACAATCAATTGTTACGTGTAATATATTCATACA